ATAGAGGGATGACCTGGAAGACTCAAGAGGGAGCAAATTAAGCACCAGCCTTGTGAGAGAAGCAGTGTGGACAATTTCAATGCAAATTATGCTGTACTTTATGAATGTGAATGCATTTTTCTAGGTTATAAATGCACCATTAGGAGTAGAAAAATCCTTACAGCACAATAACTTTTATTATTCAATAACTGCAGGCCTATTTTAATAAGTTCTTAGCAGTACCACTGACTCTTCTTCTGGGGTATTAAGTTGCTCTGTAGTCCTGGAGGACAAGAACCCAAGGAGTCAGCTAAAGTGTGTTGACGATTTTGGAGAAAAGCAACCATGTTAGGACATCATCCTTTGGCGCTAAGAGGGTAATGGTGTGGATTTTCTTTAATGGGCTACACAGGAACAGAAGATGGGTTGCTTTAGAACCATGCCTCCGTAGGTAAGGGTGCAGTGAAATAAGTTAAAATTGCATCTTAAACTATGTTGATGACCTGATGGCTGAAAAGCAGGAAGTAAATATACCCAACAAATAAATAGACATTTTTCAGTGGTGCAGCTGCCAATGGGGAATCCACTTAATGGCTTGTATAAAGTAAGGATGGGAAACTCATGGCCCTCCAGATGTTGTTGGACTCCAACTCCCATTAGCCCCAGTCAGCAAGGCCAATTGCCAGGGATGATGGGAACTGTAGTCCAGAAACATCTGGTGAGTCAAAGGTTCCATGTTTTAGAATGCTGGCACAGTAGAGAGAGGATAAAATTTAGCACAGTCCATTCCCTCATATGCACTCATGGAATGTTTTACGGGGAGGTGGCATAAAACAAACTTGATCACTTACAGCAGCTGTCTAAAGTGGCAAAGCCTCATCATGTCATTTCTGACACATGGTGGAAATATACAGAAAACAGCAGTGCTACAATTAAATGAATACAATATAAATTCATTTCTTTCAAAAAGACATGGGGACAGTTTTTACTACATTAGCTGAGTCCAAGAATTGAAGCTCACTAACTTTGTCCATAATATCTCAGTGGACATAATTGAGAATTAAGCTTTCCCCAATCTGTACAGCCCCATTCTGGGTTCCACTGAATAGCAATTGACAAACAGACAAAACCCAGGAACTGACTTCTACAGGTATAACTTCTAACAGGTGCTGTGTTAAATACGGTCAATGGTATTACATGTTCACATTATCCTGGGCCTCATGTGGAATTCAAGACCAGAGCTGGCCCAAGACCATCAGCTAAGCATCACAAAATGGCAGACTTCTGACAAGTGGGAACTGCTTCCCCTCTGGGTCTATTTCAAAACAATTTGACATGAGACGGACCACAATGTGTCACAAGCAGAGAGCAGGAGCAAATAAGAAACACTGCATCAATTAAATGGCAGAGCCAAGGGTTCCAGGTAACTAATTCAGACTCTGCAGCACGGGGAGCTGGGCGAGCCCACATCTGTCCAGGTAATGGACTCCAACTCTCATCAGCCTGAGCCAACATAGCCAGTGTTCAGGAAGTATGGGAGCTGAAGTTCAGCCACATCTGGAGGGCCAGAGGTCTCTCCCCCGCTCTGCAAGAAAAGCCCCCCCCCAATCCTGGGTTAATACTCAATGTGACTTAGAGGGGAAATGCACCTAATCAGTCTTACTCAAAGAACACCTTCCATTTTACTCCATGCCAAGTAACATCCTATCTCTATCTGTCCCTTAGTTCAGTTCCAAAACATTCATTTAACAGTACTGTATTGATGAGATGTTTATACAGGTAGCAGCAGGCTTTCACAACTTATAACCTATCAAGCTGAATGCAACCCATCTTGTAGAGGCATCAAAGCCTAGAATGTATAGCAACCTGGTAAAGATTATGATGCCTCTACCTGGGACGGCAAATAGAAGGGGAGGATCTGCAAGCTATACTGCATGAGTACCAGTGAGCTCCATTCCATTTCCTGGAACTCAAGCTGTAGTCTAGTCAATAGTACAAATTCCTTTTAAGTGCACTGTCCCTCCTTTAAAATGCCTTTGTTGAGAACCACCCAGCAGCTAAATCTAGGGCTATAGATTGTCATGCTGAAATCAAAGTTAAAACAAATGACGGCATTTCAAAAATGGGAAAGACGACGAAAATCACATGGGAAGAGAGCTTGCAGAGGTTTTACAATTGCAGAGAGTGAGTTACAGAGGTCTCACACTCCTAAACCATAGTGAAAACTCTCTCTCTCTCTCTCTCTCTCTCTCTCTCTCTCTCTCTCACACACACACACACACACACACTGCCCCAGGCCATTTTAATTACTTGCAGCCAAATTCTATACATGTTTACTTTGCAAGTATGTCTGACTGAGTTAAATGGGGCTCACTTCCCAAGTAAATAAGTATAGGATTGCTTTCTCAGGCTACACTACTATGCACACTTGACTGGGAGTATGCCTGAGTAGATACATAGAGGGTTGTATTGGTATGGCAACATATTGGCATCTTTTCACCAGATTAAATTAAAGCCAGATTAAATGTATTCCCATCAGAAGTGTTAAATGGCAGACTGAGAGATATTCCTTATCAAAATAGGATCTGTGTATGCTCTCAGGACGTCGACTGCATGAGGCATATTTTATTGCATTGTGGACAATATGATCAAGCTAGGGAACTATTGATTAAACCACTGTTGGCAAATCGGCCGGGTCAATCTGAAGCCTACTATATCAAATATCTTCTGGACAACAAGTCCAATGGTATCACAGTGGCTGTGGCAAAGTTTCTTTCAGTAGTCATACAAATCAAAGATCAACACACCTATGACTAAACAAATAATGCTTCAGTCTCCCTTCCCTGGGGGGTTGTCTGTATGAATCTGTATTTTATTCTGAATCCATATTGTGTTGGACCACAATAAAGATTTATATTGTATTGTATTGTATTGTATTGTATTGTATTGTATTTATTATATTATATTGGTATGGTGTCTGTATGCCCTGGTTCTCCATCTAGATAGAAGAAGAAAAACCCAACAGCTTCATAACTGATAAGATAGAAGAAGAAAAACACAACAGCTTCATAACTCTCTGAATTGCCTTTTTAGATGCAAGACTATTACCTGCAGTGAGCTAAATGAAGAGGAAAATGTAAGTTGTCACAGAGTGAAAGAAGGCCTGGAACTCAAAGGCCTGGAAACGATGCCTTATGAGGAATGGCTAAGGGAGCTGGGCATGTTTAACCTGGAGAAGAGTAGGTTAAGGGGTGATACGATAGCCATGTTCAAATATATAAAAGGATGTCATATAGAGAAGGGAGAAAGGTTGTTTTCTGCTGCTCCAGAGAAGCGGACACGGAGCAATGGATCCAAACTACAAGAAAGAAGATTCCACCTAAACATTAGGAAGAACTTCCTGACAGTAAGAGCTGTTCGACAGTGGAATTTGCTGCCAAGGAGTGTGGTGGAGTCTCCTTCTTTGGAGGTCTTTAAGCAGAGGCTTGACAACCATATGTCAGGAGTGCTCTGGTGGTGTTTCCTGCTTGCCAGGGGGTTGGACTTGATGGCCCTTGTGGTCTATTCCAACTCTATGATTCTATGATTCTAAGATGGTGCCAACATTCATCACCTTTCCATGGACTTAAGACAGATGAGTCGCATCCCTGACCTCTGATCTTAAATAGGAAGCAAAGTAACACTGGAAGTTCTCCAAAATCCATGATTGGGCAATGCCAGCCAAAATGCCAAAAAATCCGAAGGCCTGGCTTAGTGGCCTAGGACCTGGGAGACCAGTGATCAAATCCCCACTCAGCCATGAAGCTCATAGGTTAACCTTTGGTCAATCAGTGCCTCTCAACCTAACCTACCTCATAGGGGTGTTGTGAGGATAAAATGAGGAGGTGATTAAGTGTGTATGCCACTGAGCTCCTCAGAGGAAAGGTGAGATATAAATGCAAGAACATGATGTTACATAAATCAAGGATGGGGGAGAGAGAGGGAGGCTGGCGGGGGGTGGATAAAAAGATGCCTTGAAGTTGCTTACCTAAGTTAGACTTACGTAGTGCCTTGAATGTTGAAAAGTGTATATAAATAAACAAATAATAGTTTAGCATCTCAAATATGACTGTTCATCTCACCCACCTCTGGGTTTGTGTGTATGTGTGGGTGTGTGGGTGTTCTTCAGGGATAAATGTGTGTATTTATCTGCAGCATGCATATGTTTGCAAGAATGAGAGAGAATAAGAATGAGACTGAAGAATGCATCTACTCAAGCATTAAATGATCTGAAAGAAGTGGAGTAGTCACCACTGAGAACGTTGAGTTGTTTAACAGCTTCATGAGCTTTAAAACCACACAAGTCTCTCTCTATAACGCACAGATGTTCAGGGTAAAGTTAAAACAAAACGGATCTCTCTCTGCGCCTGGGTGCTTAGATTTGGTGGGTATCCATCTGGATTCATCTCTGAGAACAAGCAAAGTCTCTAGGCAGAAGCTTATGAGTGAATTAAAAGTTCATTTAGCATGAATTACAAAAACGTGGAACCAGGTGGGGAACATCTGCCGGCCTGATCCCAAGCGCCTTTGCCAAGTGGAGCTACTCTCTCAGTGGGAAGAAAACGGAGAAGGAAGACAAGAAACCCAGAATAGCAAACGCTCACGCGCAAGTGAGCGCTCTTTGATGAAAGACGGTTTTGTTGTAGTGTTGTTATTTTTTTGAACGCGGAAGTGTTGGGACCGTCTCTGCATAAAGCAGTACTGTACTGTAGTTATCAGGTGCGCTGTCCGTGGTGCTGAAATATCAAACTGTCCGTTGTGCTGAAATTCGCAACTGAAGCAGAACTTCCATTGGAACCGCCCCCCTTCCCCTTCCCCTTTCGGAAGCTCTTAAATATGTATAGTGGCTCCGGGCCATTTCCCCTCCTCCCCTCCCCTTCATCACTTTCCCCGTTACGCTCACAGAGGCGAGACCCCAGGCATCCCTTTCTCTCTCCCCACCCCAACGCCCCCCACCCCACAAACCCTCCACCGGCACCTACCAGGCTCTTTCTAGGGAACTCGTTGAGCACGATGCTGATCACGGGGATGTGCAGCGCGGTGGCGACGAAGTCCATCTCCAGCATCTCGCTTCTGCTCTGCGGGAAGGCGAGGATGGCCGAGACCCCTTGCACCACGACGGTGTGGCAGATGCTTTGCAGGAAGGAGACCGGGTCGTTGCTCCACGAGGCGCTGGGCGAGGAGAAGGGGAAGAGAGGTAGATCGCCCAGCCCCGCTTCGATGGCCATCACGACCTCCAGGGACAGGTTGTAAGGCAGAAGCCCTTTGACACGGTTGAGGGTCTCCACCGCCGACAGCAGCGCCTCCCGGGGCAGCAGCGGAGGGAGACCCTCGTCGCCACTCCCGTTGCCCAAGTGTGCCCTGCTCCTCAAGCCGGTTGCCGCTCGCCACCTCCCTGGAGACCCTCCGGACCCCTTCCACTCGGCCGCCCTAGGCGCCTGCGGCTCGGCTTGGGGTCCGGCTGCCGCCTCTCGCCCTCCTTCTCTTCCGAGCGCAATGCCATGGTGAGGTCCTGGTCCCCAGGCGTCCGCGCCGGCGGGGGAAGTGGCAGCCCAGGGCTGCAGGTGCGCCGCGCCGATCCTCACCGTGTGCCCGATCCGCTTGAGGATTTGGCAGGGCTGCGGGTGGCAGGAGGAAACGGGCACCCTGGCCAGCACCAGGGCGCAGGGCGGCAGCAGCAAAAGGCACACCCTGCTCAGGAGCCACCACACGCTCAGTCTCCACATCACGGGAGAAGAGCCCGGTGCCCTGCGCGCAAGGAGAAGCCCCCTTCTCCCCCGCTGGCTTGGCACCTCAGCCGCCGCCTCCTCCTCCTCCTGCGACGCTAGGCGCTCCTCTCCCAGCCCCTCGCCTTCCGCCAGCCATACAACTCGGACGGCTCGCCAGTCGCTCCGGGCGCCTTGCGGGCTCCTAAAGTCCACATCAGCCAGGGCGGGGAGAACACCGACGGGCAGCCGCCGCCTCCCGTCGGCGGATGCTTCGGATCCCCGCCTCGAAAGGGAGACCTTCCGCTGGCCGCTCTCGTCGTCCTCCTCGCGCCTTCCACCCAACCCGACGACGCACCCCAGGGCTTAGCAGGGGAGTCGCGAGAGCCACTCCATCCCGGGCGGATCGCCGCAGCCCTTCGGGGCGATCCCTTCTGGCGCCATGGCTTGCGTCTGCTAGGAGGGAACAAGCGGGGAAGCCAGATCTCCAGATCGCCACGGAGGGAAGCAGACTCGGGATCCCAGCCTCCAGATCTGCCTCATCTCCCTTCGGTCACTTTTCTTCTCCTTCTTTTCTCCACTCCACTCCTCCCTCCCTCCTTCCCTCCTTCTTCCTTCCTTTGCTCCCTTGTCTCTTCTTCCTCCTCTTCTTCTTCTTCTTCCCTCTCTTTCCCCCTCTCCAATGCGCTTCCCCTTCCCGCTTTGGAGGCTCTTGCGAAGAGGAGACCAAAGTTTCCCGGCGCGGAGGCTGAAGCCAGAGGCAGCCGCTCTCGCCGCTCTCCGCTTGTCCGAAGTGGCTCCAGTCGGTCGCTTGGCTGCGCTAAACTCCCACCGACTGGCTGACTGGCTGCCGAAGACGGCTTTGGGGGAGGCGAGCAGGTAGCGCCCCAAGCGGGACAAGCTCCCCGCGAGGGATGTTGGGGATTGTAGTCAACCCAGCCCGGGTGCTGGGAAGCGCCCACAGCTCCAGGGTTTAGAGGAAAGAACGCCTTGGCGTCATCGGAGCCATAGTTTAGAAGGCTGCTTCCCCCCTCCTCCTCTCCCCATCGTCACAGATTGTCTAATATTTGATGAGCTAGAAGAGAGCTGGAAATCACCAAGAAGGATGGGGCACACCCCTGTTTCCCAAATAATTTCCTGGAACGTCTAACCCAGTGTTCCCTGCACTGGTTGGTAGTGGCTCTCCAGGATTTCACACAGAGCAATGAACCAGGGAATTGCATGGAAAGCAGATGCTTAGATAGATAGATGATAGATAGATTTGTAGAGTTGGAAGAGACCACGAGGGTCATCTAGTTCCTTCCAATGCAGGAATGCAATGCAGGAATCTTTCTACTGAGATACAGCAATCATACCCTCCAGCTATGGGTTGCACTCCCCACTCTATCTAACAGCTGCATGGCAGGCAGAAAATCAACAGGTGCACTGTTCCCTCCATAAAAAGACGAGGTGGGAAAAATCCACCCATCAAACGAATATAAAAATAGACCTAACTGAAGATCAGACTGAAGACTTATCAAGTCTAGAATTCTGTTGTCACACTGGTTGGCTGTGCGAAGCACATGGGATCATAAGAGTTGGAAAGGACCCAGGAAATTACAGCTGTGCTATGACCTTAGTGTTATTAGAACCATGCTCTAACCAACTGAGCATGAGCACAAGAGCTTCCCAGTGAGAAGATCCAGTGAGAGCCCCTGTGGTGTAGTGGTTAGAGCAGAGGTTTTCAACCTTTTCAAGTCTATGGCTCACTTGGCCAACTGCATTCTTTCCATGGCACCCCTGTGGGGCTCAGAAGCCCAGTTATGTCACCCCTTGCCTGCAGAGCTGGCAGCCTCTCACCCTTTTTCAAACACACTCCCTTGTGGAGGGTTCCCTCAGCCTCCTCTCCCCTCTCCTTGGGAGTCCTTTAGGCAGCTGCAGCTTCTTCCCCTGGTCTCTGAGCGCACCCCCCCCCCCGCACGCCACAAAGAGAGATGCCTCCTCACACTGCCCCTCAGAGAATTGAGAAGCAGCTTTGATCAGCCCCAGAGGCACCATTCACCTGCAGAACTTATAGCCAGGGTTGCTGCAACAAACAACTGTGCAAGCCTTTGGGAGGCAGAGACACAAGAGGGCATCAGAAGAGAGAGGGAAGGAAGGAAGGAAGGAAGGAAGGAAGGAAGGAAAGAAAGAAAGAAAGAAAGAAAGAAAGAAAGAAAGAAAGAAAGAAAGAGGCCACTGGTTGAAATAGCAGTTCGAAAGCACGTCAAAGTGCAAGTAGATAAATAGGTACTGCTCTGGCGGGAAGGTAAACGGCATTTCCGTGCGTTGCTCTGGTTCACCAGAAGCAGCTTAGTCATGCTGGCCACATGACCTGGAAGCTGTACACCGGCTCCCTCGGCCAATAAAGCGAGATGAGCGTCGCAACCCCAGAATTGGTCATGACTGGACCTAATGGTCAGGGGTCCCTTTACCTTTACCTTACTAGGTTAGAGTGCCTGGGAAAGCAGTGGTCTGGTCCCCCCTTGGCTGCAAAGCTCATTTGGTGACCTTAGGCAACTCACTGTCTCTTGGCCGAACCTACCTCACAGGGTTGTTGTGAGGATAAAATGGAGAAGAGGGAACCGCTTATGTCACATTGAGTGCCTTGGAGGGAAGGTGGAATATAAAGTAAGTACAGTCATACCTCGGGTTAAAGTAGCTTCAGGTTGAGCGTTTTCAGGTTATGCTCCGCGGTGACCTAGAAGTAACGGAATGGGTTACTTCTGGGTTTTGCCGCTCGCGCATGCGCAGATGCTCAAAATGACATCACGCGCATGCACAGAAGTGGTGAATCGTGACCTGCGCATGCGCAGACGCGGGTTGCGTTCTGCTCAGGATGCGAACAGGGCTCCAGAACAGATCCTGTTCGCATACAGAGGTACCACAGTATATAAGAGCGCCAGCACCTACAGTAGTATTTCTGGAAACAGGGGCAGACTTCAGTAATCTTTCGCAGTATGGTACCCTGTGTGGGGCCAAATTTTGGTGGCCCCAAATGGATCTTCTCAGTTAAAGATCTGCTCCTTGGCTCAGATCCTGTGTAATGGAACTGCCCACACCGCCCTAGATCCAGTGCTGCTGAAAATGTGCCTCTGATATTGAAAATGATGCCACGGAACCATGACTAGCATTTTAGAGAAAAAGTGTTTAAGACATGCTAAAAATTTCTGAAATTGTGCAGGGTATGGAGAAAGAGGTTAGAGTTAAAGTCTCTCTCTCTCTCCTTCTCCCTCCCTCTCTGTTGGGACCATCCAATGAAGCTGAATGTTGGAAGGTTTAGGATGGACAAAATAAAATATTTCTCGACACAGCACACAGTTAAACTATGCAATTCGCGCGCCCCAAAGATGTAGTGTTGGCCACAATTTTGATGGTTTTAAAAGACGTTTAGACAAGTTCTTGGGGCATAAGGCTACCAATGACTGCTAGCTCTGATTCCAAAGTCAAAGGATATCAGTTGCTGTTCAGGTCTTGCATGGAGGCTTAGCCACTGTGAGAAAAAAGATGCTGGATTAGTGGTATTATTATTATTATTATTATTAGTAGTAGTAGTAGTAGTAGTCTATATCGCCCTTCACCCAAAGTTCACAGAGCGGTTTACAATATAAAAACACAAAGATACACACCATACAGTGGTACCTTGGGTTAAGTACTTAATTCGTTCCGGAGGTCTGTTCTTAACCTGAAACTGTTCTTAACCTGAAGCACCACTTTAGCTAATGGGGCCTCCTGCTGCCACTGCGCCGCAGCAAAGTTCTTAACCCGAGGTACTATTTCCTGAAGCAAAGTTCTTAACCCGACAGTGGCGTAGCGTGGGGGGTGCCAGGGGTGCCGGCCGCACCGGGCGCAACATCTGCGGGGGGCGCGAGTCCAGAGGGAAGGGACAAGTTCCTTCCTCCGCCGGGCTCCCCGCCGCCACCGCCAGCCTTGCGCCCTAGCGCGCGCGCCCCCCGCCGCCGCTGCTGCGCTCCACTCACTGCTCGCAGGAGGAGCAGCCGCTGCAGCAGCGCCGACGCCGCCACCGACGCCTGGCCGGGCACGGGCAGCCTCCGCACCCCGACGCCATCCCCTTCCCCCTTTTTTTCCAGAGCTGGGGGAGGGGGAGGTTTTAAAAGGGGGTCTTGCATTGGCGATCCTGCAGCACTTTGGGCCGCACGACACGAGCGCGCAGCACGGATCAGCCACGACCCCACCCCGTGCATTTCCCGGGGAAAAGTGCTCCGCGTGGGAGGCGTGTTTCCCCTTCATTCCCTCTCGTGCAAATCCTCCTTGGGTTCCCTCCCCCGTCTTTCCTCTCCCTACCTCACAAAAGCCTCACCTCGTCGCCTCCTCGCTGCCTCCGCAGGAGCGTTTCCCTCTGCGGAAGAAGGAGCAGGGCGCTTCTGCAACTTTGGATTGCAACCTCCTGCTTCCCTGGGAAACAGAGCCCGGCCGGGTCAGTTGTCCAGCGGAGGGCCAGTTCCCCCTCCCTCCCCCCTCTCTCTGCAACCCTTGCGCCCCCCCCTGCATACTACTTGCAATGCAACTTCCGCGCTCCATGCGCTTTCATAGAATCTGTCGAGCTGGAAGGGAGCCGAGGGTCATCTAGTCCCACCCGCTGCAATGCAGTAATACGCCGCTGCCCCCCTACAAGGGATCGAACCTGCAACCTTGGCCTTATCAGTGCCGTGCTCTTAAACTGAGCCATCCGGGCTCCCCCTTCCCCCACCTTCTTGCGCGCCTGAACCTGTCCGCGTTTTGCATTCTAACACTTGCAAGCTCCATCCTCCAGCAGTTCCCTGACGCCGGCTGCGCTTCCTTTCAGGCCACCACTTGGCAGCCATAAACTCGCACCGTGTCCAATATCCTATAAAAAGCATTAATCGGAATACCTTGCAACATTTCATCAAAGAAAATTGAGACGCCCTATTCCATAATAATAATAATAGTAATAATTTTATTATTTATACCCTTCCCATCTGACTGGGCTGCCCCAGTCACCTTGGATAAAAATATAATAAAACATGAAACATTTAAAAAAACTTCCCTTCAGATGACTTCTGAAGTTGTAAAGTTACTTATCTCCTTGGCTTGGGGGGTGTCTAATAAAAATAAAAATAAATTATTTATACCCTGCCCATCTGGCTGGGCTTCCCCAGTAACTCTGGGCGGCTTCCAAAAAAATATTAATACGTCAAACATTAAAAGCTTCCCTAAACAGGGCTGCCTTCGGATGTCTTCTAAAAGTCTGGTAGTTGTTCTTCTCTTTGACATCTGGTGGGAGGGCGTTCCACAGGGAGGGCGCCACTACCGAGAAGGCCCTCTGCCTGCTTCCCTGTAACCTCACTTCTTGCAGGGAGGGAAC